AATCTCGCTATCTATGGAATTACTAGCCCTAGGTAACGCCACGGGCTGTTACCCGACTTTTTCCTTATTTTTAATCTAACCGCGAGACGCTCTACGATTAGACCTGACTTCTTGTACAGTCCAGAAAGACGCTTTCAAGATTTAATACAATTAGCCGCTTTAAGTATTAGAAAAATAGGCTAGACTAAGTAGTGACGCGTTCGTTCACTTAAATAGGCCGTGTTATCCCCAGTAGTTACCAGCTTCCGGATACCACTTGCGAATCAAACACATCAACAATTACGGATTGAAGGCCTAATTCAGGTGTAGATATGTAAAGCCTAATCTAGGTGATCAATCTAAATAAGACTCAACACATCATGGTTAATTATTCAAAATAACACAAGCAATTTCAAAAAGATAACTCAATAATCAACCACGAAAATCAATCAAACATCGTCAAGTCGTAGGGTTCGACATCCCCGAAACTAGAAATAAAAACTAGCCTAACATAATAAATAAAAACAAAAGAAAGAGAATAGAATTATCCTCTTTCGTGTGCGGTGCGGTCTCCCTCCGCGTTTCTTCAGGCTCTCTCGCTTCTATCTGCGTGCGCTTCTCTTTTCTTCTCTGATCAGTGGCGGCTCCTTTTCTTTTTGTTTCCGTGCGTGGCGGCTCCAAAAATCTGATGCCCTCCACAAATAAATGTGTGGCTTACGTGTATACCCAAAACTCAATGCATGTCCAACTTTAATTTTGCCTTCCAGTAAAAAAAAACCTTCAGCCCACATGTGTCAATTAACCACTAGCATCCACTTTGAAACTCAAATGATATTGGGCCTTAATTTATATGTCATTCTTGGGCCCAAATATTGGCAGATGTTGGGACAAACTTGTTCTGATATTGTGCACTCCATTTTGGCCTACTTCAATTCTCGCTTGGTACACGTCACCTATAAAAATACTCCGTTATCCTGAAAATAAACTATAAAATATCATAGTACTTGACTCCATCTAAATAATAAATAATTCAAAAAATATATAAGTGCGATAAAATTTAGCATATAAAAATACGCTAATAAATATATAAATTACACACTTTTTTCGGCCAATCAAGAACAACCCAAACATAGCCACGAAAAGGAAGAAAAGAAAAGACAAAAACAAAAACAAAGAGAAAAATAAAGAAACGCAAAGGAAAGAACACAAATATGAAAAACACAAAACAAAGAGAAACACGAAAAATAAAATCAATACCAAGTCTAAATATCCTACATGCCTTCTCCGGAAACGGCGCCAAATTTGTTGTAGCACAAATTGTTATTTTTACCGAGTACCGAATCGAAAGATTCGTTCCCCAGGTCGATCTCACGAGGAAGACGGTTCAGAATTCAGCTCTGGTGTCGATTACACATAAAAGAAAACAAAATCCTAAACATTCTAATCAGATAGCGGGTTTGAATAATTATCAGCTAAGAAATAATAAAAAGCATAATCTACCTAAAAATGTAAATGAAAAAAAGATGGAGAAGCGAGGGAATCGGGGATAATTAATTCAAGTTCTAGCAAAGTCATGCAATTAATCGTTCGGTTCGAGATTGTTACTCTCACTTAGACATCTAGCGGTTTGCTCCCAATAACTCTTCGTAACAAAGGATTGAACATAGACGTACAAGCTTGAGTATACAAGACAAATCAACTAACCCAATCCCAATAACTCTCGTAACAAGGGACGGGTCATCGACACGCACGTATTTCAATCAAAAACCTATAGACTATTCAATTACGGAATCATCTATCTCATGTGAGCCTATTTCTACGACTTCTCCCCTTTCGGTTCTGAAAGCCGCTAAGTCGATTAGAATGTGTTTAATCAACTAATCATATAGAATTGACAAACCCTAGTTCGACAAATTAACATCCAACTGTCACCAATAGCAAGATCGAAATGTCACTTTTCGATTACATCAATCTATCGAAACACAAATTCATCAATTCCTAATCAATTCAACTCACACAAGCATGAACAAATCAAAGCCCGACAAATGCACGTTAAACAAGAACAATCATCCCCTATTCTTAGCAATCAGATTCAGCTACGTAAATCAAATTCAATAAACATAATCATTCTTCTCAAGCTAACCATTGTTTATGAATTAAACAAGAGAAATAAATACTTACAATCAATCCAAGTTCCAAAGTTGAATTTGAAATACAAGCTTAAACCCTAACTAAGAAGAAGAAGAAGAAGAAGAAGAAGAAAATTGGAAAATAATGGTGAAAAGAAGAAGAAAAATGATGGAGAAGAAGGAGAAGGGAGAAGGTGGAGAAGAGAGTGTTTTCGGGACCTAGGGTTTTCACCCCCGGTCGAGAGGTAGTCAAAGAATGGAGAAGAAAATGAGTTTTTGAGGTTTTTATACTATTTTGGGACCTGCAGGGGGCTTTAGCGCCGCTAAGGGGGGTTAGCGGCGCTAATGGATGAAAGCTGCGAGCCTCTGGGGTCGTTAACATGGTCTAGCGCCGCTAGATAAGTCAGCCTTAGCGCCGCTAAGGTGTCTGGGCAGCGCAACTTTGCGTTTTTGGCTCGATTTAGCTCGTCTGAACTCAGAATTGAATTCCGTTTTTTTCTACGCATCGCTAACGAACTCCTCTATTTAATTATGCTTGCACGATAAGCTTTTGCCCATAATTCGGTCCTCCCGAAGCTTCAGACTTACACACCAAAAAAGAAGAAAACCAAAAATATACCCAAAAAATACAAGAAAATACCCAAAAAATACAAAACACACTAAAAGCGAAAGAGAAGAACTAAAATGGGGGCAAAAGAAAGGTAAATAACAAAGAAAAAATGCAACAAAAATGGGACAAACAGATATGAACTTACAGACTTAAGAAATTAATAGGGCGCAGTACACCTTAGATGTACTATTTAGTTTCTCAAATGGCCCATAATTACACCAATTTCGATAAAATTTTAAATGGCCAACATTCATAAAGGACAAACAACTCAATGGTGCTTACTTGA